TCTCTAATCTTACGGGTTCTGTCACTTGGGTTGCCAGAGATCCTCCAAGAACTGACCCGTCCATTTGCTCAAAACGAATGGGGACTTTTAACGGGGTCATGCGTAGTCCCAGCTCTTTGGCCAGAGAGGCTCGGATCAGGCACCTAGTGCACCCAGAGTCTACAAGTGCCCCTTGGCAAACCATGGTATTAGTGTGGGGATGCCGGAGACTAACTTGAATAATGAACGGACGGATGGGGGCACTCACCATCGGATCACGGTTGTCCTCCTTGTCGCTATCGCCCAGCACCACCGGCAAGTCACCAGGTCCCGGGGGGGTGCCCTCCTCCTTAACGGGGCTATCGCTATCCATTGTCACGGCCTGCAAAGCCACCCAGGACCGCTCGGGTGTTATCCGTCTTCCGCCTCTGCCGCCAGGTCGATCAGGTGTGCGTCCCGTCAATGATTGAGGAGGAGGAAATGGGCAATCGGCAGCTCGATGTCCAGTCTGGTTGCATCGGAAATACCAAAAAGGTGCCCTTCGTGAGGACCCAGGGGTTGCAGTGGGCCTCCCTGAATCTCGGGTAGTGGATGGCCTATCGGGTGGTCTTTGTCTCAGCATGGTTCCAGTGGTCTCTCGAAGTCGGAACTCCCTCAATCCCAAATCCAGGTCAATGGCCACCTTGAACCACTCCGTCAAACGGGGAGGTAAACCCCGATATATGCAAGCCTGCCACAATTCCCTATCCAGGCCAAGGTGGAACTGGTGGACTAACATCCGCTCCGGCCACGCCTGCAGCCACCCTGCAACGGAGCGGAACTCCTTCACATACTCTCTAGCTGGGCGGCCCCTCTGCCGTAAGGCCACCAATTCTCCTTCAGCTTGTTGGATGCGGGAGTCATCTTCAAAATGGGCCCAGAGGCCCTCTAGGAACAGCCCCACATCTGTCAACTCTCGAGCGTGGTCACTGTGCAGGTCGGCCACCCAATCGGCTGCCTCTCCTTGCAGCACTGTGGTAACTGCCACCACCATGGACCACTGGGTAGGATAAAATTGCCCGTACAAGTCAAAATAGCTGAGGACTTGACTTAGAAAGATAGCCACCCTGTCTGCGCTGCCATCAAATGACGCTTGTAGTGGGGGCGGGCCCCACACTGGTTGAGGCTGCCACGGACCCTGGCCAGGAGGTCCTGCATATCCAGGAGCGGGGTGAGCCTGAGGTGGGGGCGGTCGCTGTACCCGGTGTTGACGTCCGAAACTCGCCCCGTGTTGGTTATCCCCTTGGAAGGGCTGAGGGGCGGGGGCGTGTCCTCCGCCCTGGCCGGCAGATCCCGGATTGGGCCCCGTAGGACGAGGACGGGTCTCTGGTTTTGCCCGTTCCGGACTTCGTGTTCTGCTTGTAGACGTATCCAAGCGCAATTTGAGGCTAGCCAACCGGAACCGGGTCGATCCGGACGTACCCGAACTGTGCCACGTCTCCGCCCCTTCAGCCCATGGTTGCCATGAGGGAGCGCCTCTGAAACTACTCTCCCCAAACGGCTCCCTCAGAATCTCCAGAGTAGAAGAGCCAAGGCCGGTGGAATAGCTCCATTCGCCCCCTTCGTCGTCATCCACCCAACGCCTTTCTCTCCAACGCCTAAACGGCTCAGCCGGTGGGGTGATGGTAGGGGCTTTCCCGCCAGCCACTGCTGGGCTGCGCCACCAGTCTCCGGATGAATGATGCCCTTCCATTGGCTTCGTTTCAACTTCACCCGCTCCTCCGCCCTCCTCGTCTTGGCTTATGGGCCGTTCCTTCGGTCTCACCACTGGCTGCATCTCGTCTGAGACCTCCGGTCGTGCGCTCACCTCCTCCACCGGCATCTCTGCCAACACCTCCACCTCGGGGTCCATCCCTTCCGCCATGCCAGACGTCCAAACGCACCTCGAGTGCGAAGCTAGAGCGAATGGAGCGCCAACTTTCTCTCAGCTCCTTGTCCCGTACGGCACGGAGACAGCAATAAAACACAGCTGGACACATCAACTGAATGGTGAATGCTGGTTTAATGCTTTCGTCAGATACGAGACAACGCCAAGCTACAAAGTCTTTCAAAGTTGGCGCTACGAGCATCCGCCTCATAATGCTTTATATTTCCGCGCCCCACCCCTCATTACTCCACTTCGTAATGATCGGGGCGTTGTCCCATCAGTTGCGCCATTGTAGTTTGGGATCGCATTTCCGGCGTTTTTCCTAGCGTCCGTAGTTATCCTAACCCGACGCCCTTCCACCCCCTCGTGTGTCGCCTTGTCTATATCCCGTGCCACCTCCACCGCTACGACGTCTTGCTGTTTCGCCATAGAACGTTGTGAATAATATCCTCCACCGGTCCTCCACCGTTTCTCCTTCCCGTCCCCTCTGTATGCTGAGCACGCCGGGCTCGACAGCGGGTTTTTAGAATAATGGCATAGTTATATTGATAGAATTTAGGGAAATAACTGGGTAAAATATTAAGTTGTGTTAATTGGAAATTAAGACTTGTTAGTGATTTGTACTAATTTGTGACCGGATCAATGCTTCGTTTTGGAAAAGATGTGTTTTATGTTTATGTTTTAAAAAAAATAAAAAAACTTTTTTTTAAAAAAAAAAGTTACATCGGCACTGAAAAAAATGACATGACCATTTTCCACAGTTACTGTTGTGATCCAGGCCCAAGTAGGTATTATCAGATGCAATCAGTTTGAAACAAACAGACTTTATTAGAAAAGCTGAGAATTAACTCAGCTTTCTGGATCGCGACGCCTTGCGCACAGTCACTCATGCCCTTGTCACCTCCCGACTGGACTACTGTAATGCTCTCTACATGGGGCTCCCCTTGAAAAGCACCCGGAGGCTCCAACTGGTCCAGAATGCGGCCGCGCGGGTGGTTATGGTCGCAACTCGTTGTGCCCACGTGACACCCCTCCTGCGTGAGCTGCACTGGCTCCCAGTGGTCTTCCGGGAGCGATTCAAGGTGTTGGTTACCACCTTTAAAGCGCTCCATGGCATTGGACCTGGATACCTTCGAGACCGTCTTCTGCCACCAGTAGCCTCCCACCGGCCAGTCCGCTCCCACAGAGAGGGTCTCCTCAGGGTGCCATCGGCCAAATTATGTCGGCTGCCGACACCCAGGGGGAGGGCCTTCTCTGTGGGAGCCCCTGCCCTTTGGAATGAACTGCCCCCAGAAATTCGTAAGCTCTGATCTCCGTGTATTTCGCTGTGCCCTCAAAACCTTGTTATTCCGCCAGGCCGGGCTATCAATGTAAAGATTTTAATTGGTTTTAAATATGGGATTTTAAATTTGGGGGTTTTATAATTGAGCCAATTATTTAATAATTTTAATTATTTTTAAATTGTCTGTCTTTGTGCTTTTAATCAGGCTGTACACTGCTCTGAGTCCTTCGGGAGAAGGGCGGTAGAGAAATAAAATTAATAAATAAATAAAATAAATAAACTCATTCTCAGCATAGTCCAAACTAATTCAAAACAAATTCTTCATAACACAATTCTTCAGCCTTATCACCAACCTTGGTCTAATTAGGCAACCTGCCAAAGGCTTTTCTTGGCAAAAGTTCAGAAGCAGAAGATGCTGACAAATAAATGCAGCAAGACAAGAAACAAATCTGTCAACGTTGTTTTCCGACAAAGAGCCCAAGAGCCATTGCTGGTCTTTTAAGCCTTATAGGAGGGGCCAATCATCTCTTGGCCTTACTCCCGAGTCATCCTTTTTGCTTTAGCTGCTCTTGCCTTCTGGCAGCTCTTCTCATGCGTGCACTAGGAACAGGCTCCTCCTGTTTCTCTGCCACTCTGCAGTCAGCCTCTGGAGGTGCCGGAGTCTGCACATCACTCCCAGATGGCCCTGGCCCCATCTCTGCCTCCGACGCAGAGCCTTCATTTGGGCCTTCCCTAGCCTCCAGGACTGGCCCATGTTCTTCCTCAGCCTCCTCACTGTCTGACTCCGCTGTCAGCTCCGCAGGCTGCTGGCGGACCACAACAGTTACGACCATTCCAGCAACTCCATCGTCATGTGATTAAAATTCAGATGGTTGGCAACTGGTTCATATTTATGACCATTGCTGTGTCCCAAGATCATGTGATCAACTTTTGTGACCTTCTGACAAGCAAAGTCAATGGGAAAGCCAGATTAATTTAACTACCAGGTTTCTAATTTATCAACTGCAGTGATTCACTTAACAACCGAGGCAAATAACCAAAGTTATTAACACAGCTGCCTGCAATTACTGCTGGTTCGAATCTCTCCAAGGCTCAAGGTTGACTCAACCTTCCATCCTTTCTAAGGTAGGTGAAATGAGGACCCAGTTTGTGGGGGCAATAAGCTGACTTTGTATAAATATACGAAAGTATGAAGGCTATTGTTTAACGCATTGTAAGCCGCCCTGAGTCTCCGGAGAAGGGCGGCATATAAATCAAATTAAAAAAAAAAAAGATTGTAAAATGGGGCAAAATTAACTTAACAAATATCTCACTTATCAACATAAATTTTGGGCTCAATTATAGTTGTAACTTGAGGACTACCTGTATTGTAATTCATAAATTCTGTAGTCAAAAAGTTCATTATGACATGACCAGTTTTCTTTGACTAGTGACTACTAATCCTGCTAATACTAATTGAACAAATTAAGGATAAACTTTAAAGATTGGAGTTTATAATATATAATTATATTATTTATTATAAGAATTAAAGTATATGATTTATACAATATATAAAAATGAGATAGAAATATACTTCTTTTCCAAATTGCCGAATATGACCTTTCAATTCATGGAATCACTGACATGAAAAAATAAGATCCAAATTTATAAACTGCAGCTCATCTTGGAAAAAAATATCAGAAGTTTTGTAGCTTTAATTGGTTAGTGCTGCTTGTTCTTGGGAATGGAATGCTCTCAACTTTGTTTTTCTTCTTTTGTTAGTTTAATTTTATTTAATAAAATAAGTGATCCCAATAAAGTGCTGAGATTTTTCTACTCTCTCTGTTTATAAAGGACAACTCTTCACCAATACCATGGGAAACAAGATGCAACATTGCGTACGGGACATCAAATGGAATCTCCTTCTTGCATGAAAATAACCATATTCATAGAGATGTTAAAAGGTAGAACCTGTAAAATTAATTTCTGTGAAAAGCATTCTAAAGGGTGACAGTAGGATAAAAAGGCTGTAAGATTTACCCCTTTCCTTTGAGTTCCTTGTGAAATGAATTCCAGAAAGGTTCCTGCCATTTGGATTTAACCAGCTGTTATTTCTGCTTGATATATTGCCCCCCTTTCAGGAAAAGGGCAAAAAATAACTTTTAGCTTACTATTTTTTCCCCAGTGCGAATATCTTACTGACAGAAACATTTGTACCAAAACTTTCTGACTTTGGGCTTGCAAGGGCATCGGTAAGATTTACACACACTATTCTAACAGATAGAATAGTTGGGACAGCAGCTTATATGGCACCAGAGGCATTAAGAGGGGAGATAACTCCTAAATCGGATATCTTCAGTTTTGGCGTGGTAAGTTGCTATTTTTTAAAATAAGTCAGTAAATGAGGGTTGTTTTCCCTTTCTGTTCCCTAAACCACCTTGCCTAATGAAAAATTATTGTTAGCTTATAAACTGTAGCTTGTTTTCCAACTTTGGGATGGTCCAATGCACAACTAAATTTAACTCCAGGTTTCCTGTAATGACAGTGTCTCAATTGTTGTTGAATTGCTCTGCTTTTGAAGACAGACTTCATTTTTCTTCAATAAGAAAGTCATGAATGGGATTAAGTGGGAATTGCCCATTATTTTATCTCAAGCCAGAGTTTTTCCTAAGAGGCTGACTCCTGGTAGTCAGAGGGCATACAGTAATATTTATTTTTTTCTCAGGCAGGTATCAGATATTTAAATATATATTTAAATATATATTTAAATATATTAAATATATCTATTAAAAATATCTATTAAATATCTATTTATTAAATATCTATTATTTAAATATTTGTTCATCGTGAAAAGGCTTCAAATCCCCCTCTATGAAATGTAGAATTTGAAGAAGTTTCTGATGTAATCCTGGATCTATTGATAATCATACAGAGATTTTGAAAATGGTTTATTCATATATTCAATGATACACTTTTGATCAATAATTATAAACTAAGTCTTTATGGAATTGTACCAAAGTCGCTCACTTTGTTGCTAAGGTAATTGAGTGTTCCTCGCTGAAATAAAATAGTATTTTTTTATATTGATTGTTGTACAGTGATATTTGATGAAAATCTGTGACATCTATTTCACTTATTAATTTTCACCTGTTTCCAGGTATTACTCGAAATAATAACTGGGCTTAGTCCTATGGATGAAAATCGGGATCCCCAGTTACTGGTATGTTCATATATATAGTTTCATGTATCAGTTTCAGTGCTATGCCAATGCCACGCCTGCTGAAGTTCAGCATCTTTGGAGGGCACAAGGCTAAGAAAAGCTGGTCTACTGTTTCAGTGGGTTTGGCAGATTCTAGTAGAAGCTTTGCCAAATTTACATATTGCCCTAAGTTGTATTATGATTTGCTTGTGGCTTATTTAACAAGTTGTAGTTAAAACAAGGGTTCAGAGTGATCATTGAAGTGAACATCAAATATTTGTAATGTCAATATTGTGGAATTTTAAAAAAAACTTTGCCCTTATGCTGGTTTATTTTAAAGTTAGATCCATGTAGGTATAAGAACCAGTGTGGCAGTGTGTTTCTGTTGATTCTTTGGTAATATCAGAAGTATCAAGTCATAGAATAAAGCAGTTTCTTGATTCCTTTTGGAAACTGAAGAAAGAAGTACCTGAATATGAATCAAGGAAACTGGGCATTATCTTAATTGGAGATAATAATTTCTTATCAATAAAACTTTGTGAAGATGTTAAGTGGTTGGAAACTAATCAAAGAGAGAAGCAACCTGCAATTAAGGAGAAACTTCCTAACAATTAACCAGTGGAACAGCTTGCCTTCAGAAATTGTGGACGCTTCATCTCTAGAGGTTTTTAAGAAGAGTAGACAGTCACTTATCTAAATTGGTATAGGTTCTCCTGCTTGAGCAGAGGGCTGGAATAGAAGACCTCCAAGGTCCCTTCCAGCTTATTCTATTCTAAGTAAGATAAAAATATGCAAGTTCAGATAAGCAAATGCTTAATGTGATTGAAATATAACTGTCCATATAACTTAAAAATATTCCAGAAGATGGGAACCTGTAATATTGTGAAAAATAGGATAGAAAAGGATTTCCTTGATGAGGGTGTGACATTGTCCAGATGAGGGTTATATCAGTCGGATCTGATGCTGGCTGAGTCATAACTTTTGACCACTCCCCTTGCTCCGCCCCTTTCATGCTCAGTTTAGACTCAGTCGGCCTGAGAGAAACATCTCCTACAGATCTGGCTATACAGCCCAGGTCTGTTCAATATCACAGAATTGTAAGTCTTTTTGACCACCTTTTTATTTCTATAGCTTAAAATTGTTACTTCCCCTTTAAATTTTTTCCCCCCCCTTCTATTGTAGCCTGCCGGTTTTGCTTTGCTAGAGCCTCCTAAGCTGCAGGCTTTGCTTCGCTCCTGGCGGCGGCCATTTTGAAAGCCCCATTTTAAAAGGGAACTTTTTTCCTTTTTCTTTTTCCTGTCTTTTTTGGGGGGGATTTTTTTGATCTATCCCACCAACGATTGTTTAAGGGGCCCTAGACCACAATACCACCAACAATAATAGCAATTACCTAATTTAAGGGAAATTGCCAAATGGGGCCGCCGCCCACCCTACAGCGATCCCAAAACCGCTTATCAGCTGTAGAGCGGTTAATTGAAGCCCCGCGGCAATTTTAAAAGGAAATTTTTGCCGCTTTGCCACCAACGAGTCTGCAAGTTTGGGGGGGGGGCAGCAAGCTTCTTCTTGCCTCCCCCTGTGGCATTTCCAGCCAGTATTTTTTATTTTTTCTCTTCATGGCTGTGGGGGCGCTGAGGAGGTCCGTTTCTAGGCTTGACTAGACAGATACCTCCAGAGCAGAGTTTCCTCCTGCTCAAGTGTGACCTGGCAGCCATCGTGCTTAACGCCAGAGTCGTTGCCATCTCAAATTTCAACCACGTGGCGAAACTGAAACCAAAAGCTATTTCTCCAGTCGACATCGTGGTCGCAGTGAGTATACTAAAGATGGCGGATCGCTCTTCCCATGGGGAGGAAAATACTATGTACACTGGGAAGAAATCAACTTCCAAACGTAAGCACCTTTCTAAGCCTGAGGAGAAGGATTTAACAAAGAGGCATAAATCTCTAGAAAAGCAAGCTAGTGAAGTGCCTGCAACTGAGCCTGGTAAGGGGACCCCCCCCCCATCTACCCCCCCTCCTCCCATTTCAACTGTTAGCCAGGCCTGGTCTTCGGAGGGAGAGGGTAATGTTCTTCAACAAGACCAAAGCAATTTGCAAAACCCCTTTGCAAGTCAATTAATGACCCCTGCAACTCCTGTATTTGGTGGGCCTGCAGCTGCAGCTGCTTCAACAGGTGAATCCTCTATGCCTGTGCTAAACCCCGAAGATCCTTTAAAAAATGTGCCAGAAGGATTGAGAATTCTGATTGAACAGGCCATTGCTTCTAGAATGGCAGCCAATATTCATGGTCACCACTCTGGCTCTGCTATTTCAGAGCGATCTGCCCGTATTAGAATTTCTCCTGCAGTCAGTCTTACTGGCTCTCATTCTCCTGCAGCCTCCAGAGTTAGTGAAGCCTTTGTGTTTGAGGAAGAGAGACATTCTGATCTATCAGATGATGAGGGGATAATCCAAGATCAACCTGCCTTTACAGGATTATTTCCCCCCAATAAATTCAAGTCTTTATTGCATAAGGCTCGCTTAACAGCCGCCTTAAAGGAAGATGAATACTTTCAAGAGATGCAGGAGGCTCAAAAGGGTGGACTACAGGGACCTTTTTCTGAGCCCCCCCCTGAACTTTGTTATGTACCAACTCCACAACTGTTCATAGACGTGGTAAAGAAACAGTGGGCTGGGCCTGCAACCATGGCATCTGCACATGGTTCAGATAAGAAATATTATGCTGTTGCTCCAAAGTTTACTCAACTCTTGCAAGTTCCACCTGTAGACAGTCCTGTAGCGGCCCTTTCCTCTTCTTCTTCATACGTAACTGGGGATACTTCTGAAGGTCTAAGGCCAGAAGACAAAAAGTTAGAATTTCTGTTTAAAAAGAACCATCAGGCCTCGGCATGGGCAATTCAATCAGCTTCATCAGCCTCATTTTTTAATAGGACTACCATCCTTTGGCTTCAACAGTTACAGGCAAGGGTACCCCCCAGGGAGGTTCGCCTTCATCAGGATATTAATAAAATCATTGCTGCCACTCAATTTTCGGCTGATGCAACCTTGAATTCAGCCAAATTTGCATCCAGAGCCTTAGCCTCTACAGTTTCAGCCCGCAGGATGCTCTGGCTTCGCCAATGGCCTGCTGACCTTAAGGCCAAATGGCGCTTGGCTGCAGCTCCATATTCTGCAAACAGACTATTTGGGGAATCACTTGACCCTCTTCTTGTAGAGACACGGGACAAGCGAAAAATTTTGCCCTCAACATACAAACGGGCTGAAGGAAGACCCTCTCCATATTACAGAAGGCCTTCCTCTCGTTCCTACCCCCAGGGAGGCCCCTCCAGGCAGGAATATCTTCAGGGATCCTATCGATCCTCGGACCGTCAATATTTTCGGGACAGGAGCAGACAATTCCAGCCCAAACGGTCCTTTCGGGGTTCTGGTTTCCGCCAGTCCCGCAGTCGTAAGTGACTCACTACCAAATCCTCCAGTAGGGGGTCGCCTGTCCCTCTTCGCGGACAGGTGGGAAAGGTCATCTTCAGACCTTTGGGTTCTTTCAGTTGTAAAATTCGGCCTCCCCCTGGAATTTCTCTCCAGGCCTCCAACCCGCTTTCTTCAATGTCCAACTTCCAAAAGCGAATCCAGACGTCAATTAATGAACCAAGCAGTTCAGCACCTACTACAGATTCACGCCATAGAGGAGGTCCCCCACGATCAATGGAAACAGGGGTATTATTCCATCCTGTTCGTAGTTCCAAAGCGGTCAGGGGGGTGGAGAGCCATTCTGGACTTAAAAAATCTCAACTCATACATAGTGTATCGCAGATTCAAAATGTGTTCACTAACCTCTATTCTTCAAGGGATTCGTCCCAACGATTTTCTAGTTTCCATAGACCTCATGGAGGCTTATCTTCACATTCCCATCCTGCCAAAGCATCGACAGTATCTCCGATTCAGCTATGCAGGAAAGCATTTTCAATACCGGGCTCTTCCCTTCGGACTGGCATCTGCACCAAGGGTCTTCACAAAGGTCCTGGCGGTGGTGGCGGCTCACCTGAGACAACAACCGGTAAGGATCCAGGCTTACCTGGACGATATTCTGATTCAGGCTCACTCTCAAGAGCAAGCCTTACACGACCTACACCTCACGATTCAAACCCTGAACAACCATGGGTTCTTGGTCAACTACAAAAAAAGTCAGTTAGTGCCAGTCACCAGGATCACCCATCTTGGCGCCATCATAGACGCAGCCCAGGGGACCGTCTACCTAACCTTGGAACGACGGTCAGACATCAGGGACCTAGTAGCTCTCATTCGCAGAACTCCATCAGTTCCATTGGCCACTCTATCCAAGCTCTTAGGCAAGATGGTCTCCTGCGTCCAGATCGTCCCATGGGCACACCTTCACGCTCGCCACTTGCAGTGGTTCCTGCTTCCTTTTCAAAAGAAACGCCAAGCTCACACCATGTTAACAGTCAAAGTTCCACTCTCAGTCAGGCGATCGCTAGGTTGGTGGACATCGCCTTCTCTCGACAAGGGGTGTCTCTTCATGAATCACGACCAACTTGTACTCACTACAGACGCCAGCCTTCACGAATGGGGGGGGCTCATCTTGCATCACACGTGGCTCAGGGCCGTTGGTCTGCATCAGACCTCGCCAACCCTATCAACTGGCTGGAGCTGAAGGCCATTCGTCTCGCTCTCACGCACTTTCACCGGTTCGTGCAACACCGTCATGTTCTGGTGTTGACAGACAATATGGCGGCGAAGGCACATGTCAACCGTCAAGGGGGCACCCACTCAAAGCGCCTCATGGAGGAATCATTTCGTCTGGGCAAGTGGGCAGAACAACACCTCCTCTCCATCAGAGCGGACCACATTGCGGGGTCGGAAAACACACAGGCGGATTTCCTGAGCAGGACAGAGGTGGACAACAGCGAGTGGCAGATTCATCCCGACATATTTCATCAGATTTGCAACAGGTTCGGCATCCCAGCCATAGATCTCTTCGCCACACACCTGAACAATCAGCTTCCTCGCTTCTTCTCGAGGTTCCCGACGCCAGGGGCGGAAGGGGTCAACGCTCTCCGTCTCACCTGGCCGCCGGGTCTTCACTATGCCTTTCCACCGCTGCCTCTGATTCCGGCCCTGATTCGGAAGGTCATCGCCGACAGAGCAGAAATTATCCTCGTGGCTCCCCACTGGCCACGCCGTCCGTGGTTCGCAGACCTGGTCAGTCTCTCCACATTTCACCCTTGGAGGATTCCACCAGACGAGATTGTACTGCGTCAGGGGAACCTTCTTCATCCGGACCCTCAGTGGCTCCAACTGACTGCATGGCGCTTGAAGGGGCCCGTCTAAGGCAGGACAATTATTCAGATAGGGTGATTCACATTGTTCAAGCCTGCAGACGTAAATCCACAGTCAGACTCTACAATATCTCCTGGCTCGCCTTTTATAGGTGGTGCCGTTCCCGGCAGATAGATCCTGTTTCAGCCTCACCTGCCCAGATCTTGGAGTTCCTCAGAGATGGGTTTGACCGTGGTCTGGCCCATAGTACCCTTCGGAGACATGTGGCGGCTCTGTCTACGGCCTTGTCCAGTCCATCCGGCCGACCACTCACTCAGCACCCTGTGATAAAAAAGTTCCTGCGAGGAGCCAGGCTCTTGCGGCCCTCCTCGATTCATAGATACCCTACTTGGGATTTGCCCAAGGTCCTTAACGCTTTAACTGAGACTCCCTTTGAACCCCTCCGCACGGTTCACCTTCGCTTTCTCACCCTTAAGGTGGTTTTCCTTATAGCCATAACTTCAGCCCGTCGCATTTCGGAGCTGGCAGCCCTCTCAGTTAGGGAGGATCTCTGTGTTTTCCGGCCGGACACAGTTATTTTGAGATTGGACCCTTCCTTTATTCCCAAGGTTAATTCCCCCTTTCACAGGGCCCAAGAGGTTATTTTGCCCAATTTCTGTTCCCGGCCCTCTCATGCCTTGGAACGAAGGTGGCATACCTTAGATGTACGGAGGGCCCTAAAGATTTATATCAAAAGGACTGCTCCCTTCAGGAAGTCAGAGGCTTTGTTTGTTTCCTTTTTGCCAGGCTCCCTAGGGCTCAAAGTCTCTTCTGCCACAATTGGTAGATGGATCAGGGCTTGCATCGCCTCGGCATATCAGGCCCAGGCGATTCCTGTTCCCAATAGCATTACTGCCCACTCCACTAGGAGTGCTGCTACCTCAGCAGCTTGGGCAACTCAGGCCTCCCTTGAGGAGGTATGTAGGGCAGCCACCTGGTCTACCCCCTCGCCATTTATTCGTCATTACAAGATAGATACCTTTGCTTCTGCTGAAGCGTCATTTGGCAGGAGGGTTTTGCAGCAGGTGCATCGTGCGAGGGTCTCTCCAGGCCCTTCGACATCCCGCCCTTGAGACAGCCAAATCTTTGGTATGTCCCTCATCTGGACAATGTCACACCCTCATCAAGGAAATTGGGCATTGGTCTTACCTTAAATGCCAGATTTCTTGAGGGGGGGTGACATTGTCCAGCCCCTCCCTCTGTCTCAGTGCCTATACAGTTTATTGTTCTTGTTCAGTAGTTTTTTTTCCAGTTGTCCCGTTGGACCGAATTACTTCCTCCTGATAACGGTGGTTCCTGTTGGAGATACTTCTGGTGGCCTTCCTTCGTCAAAACTGAGCATGAAAGGGGCGGAGCAAGGGGAGTGGTCAAAAGTTATGACTCAGCCAGCATCAGATCCGACTGATATAACCCTCATCTGGACAATGTCACCCCCCCTCAAGAAATCTGGCATTTAAGGTAAGACCAATGCCCATTTTATCAGAATCTAAGCAAAACATAACATGGAAATCTGAAAACTTTGTTATTTATTTACATTCTATAATATAGGGGTTCCTACTCCTTTAGCCTCATAGGGTAGGGGCACTCAACAGCCCTTCTTGCAATGAACGTACAAGATGACCTATAGATAGGGTGATACAAACATATGACCTCTTCCATTGTCCCATCCTACCATACTATCCCAGCTTGCTTTATTCCGTTTAATCAATTCACAAGAACAATCTGTTTTTCTTCCTTCTTTATGGAATTCCTATATCATTAAGTAATATTATTTTAATACTTTGCTGCTCCATTCAGCTGTCCATCAAAGAGGAAATTGAAGATGAAGAAAAAACTATAGAAGATTATGTTGATAAAAAAATCAGCAATTTGAACATCACCTCAATTGAACATATGTATTCAATTGCTTCCCCGTGTCTGCATGAGAAGAAGAACCGGAGGCCAGATATTGAAAGGGTACCAATTTTAAATATGGTGATGCAACACACACACACACACACACACACACACACACACACACACACACACAAACATATGTATGTATGTATGCATGTATGTATGTATGTATGTATACCGTGTTTCCCCCAAAATAAGACCCTGTCATATATATATTTTTGCCACCAAAAAAGGCAGGTCTTATTTTTTGGAGGGGGGGATGTCATCCACTGACTCACCTCACTTGTGTGCGTCGCTCCTGGTCTCCTTTTCACTGTCAAAGGCCTTCAGGAACTTCTGTGGCCCGCAAGGCTTTCCTGAAGGCCTCTGCAGCCGATAACAGGACTCCGGATTGAGGCCGAGGCCTTCAGGAAAGCCTTGCCAGCTGCAGAAGAAATGGGCTGCTGGCAAGACAGGTGTTGGGGTGTGTGAGGCCTGACTGCAGCTGTCCAAAGGTAAGTAGTAGGGCAGCTCCACCACCACCCCTCCCCACCCTAGCTTAATTTTTACCTGTGTATCCTGGAGTGGGCAGGGTCCTAATTAGGGCTTATTTTGGGGATAGGGCTTATATTGGGCGCACATGTAAAAATCAACCTAGGACTTTCGGAGGTCGTATTTTCGGGGAAACATGGTATCAAGGGTGGTATTCACTTACCTTTGCTACTGGTTCACAAATGTGACCGCACACCACCTCCGTGCAAGCACAGGACCTTCCACACATGCGCAGAGTGTCAATAACAGGACGTGATGATGTCCAGACAGGTGGCCGGAGCCTCCCGCCACTGCCACCGGTTCGCCTGAATCGGATAGTACCTGCTGAATACCACCACTGCACGGTATATGTATGTATGTGTGTGTGTGTGTGTGTGTGTATGTGTATGTATATGTACATATACATTATGTACATATATGTATATATGTATGTAGGTATGTCTATGTATATATGTATACACACACCTTTTAAATTTGCCAGCTTGAATTTTGTATTTTTTTCTGTTTCAGGTCAAAGAACATTTAAAAGAAATGTTGATTGAATAAGGTCAGTTCTGTATCTTAACTTGGTGTTTAAACAAACCTGTTTCTATATCCTGACTTGAATATTTGTGTTCCTCTATGAGGAACACTATTCAGTGTTTTTTAAAGGAACAAAATAAGGTTTGTGCCCTTTGATCTATTCATAAATTAGGATCTATTCATAAATATAGTGATAAAAATGTATTCAGTAATACCAAAATGAAATCTGCAACAAAGATCACATAAGTCTTGTCTTTTTAAAATCATATATGCTTCTACTATATATTCTAAACATAATTTATTTTCAAAAACATAGTCTCTTTTCTAGTATTCTTGTTTTCCCTTAGCAAATTTCATAAACTCAGGGTATCCAAAATTAATGTCACATTTAGTTTTATTCTTGTTAAGAGAATAATACTATAATCTTATGTAACTTCATTTCTGATTGCTAAGAATGAAAAAAAATGGTGAGGCTGGAGAAACTATCAATACTTTTCAGTATTGAAAGATTTGCTTTGAATGGATAGCTGGGAGGAAACTCTTTATTTGCTTCATTTTAGCTTAGCAAAAGTTTCATTGTAAGTTTGATGCTAAAGTAGGAGAGAACTTTGTTATTTATGGATTATCTCAAAGTTTATTAAAAGGCTCCCAATAAGGGTTTATTATAAGGACTAACTCAAGGATTATTGTCCTCACCATTTGAACTAAGTAAAGGTCAAGAAAACCTGGATCTGAAGTGAGAAAATTGGGAAAGTTTAAGTATTTGATGCTGGGATCTGTTTTGAGGAAAAAGCTCTAGTTCTGAGAGGTCTGAAACCGTATGTACAGATCTTAGAAGAGTTTTAATTTTGCTTATGAATTAAGAATTTGGGCAGAAAGGATATCTTCTTCCAATATCTATAAGCATACCACATCAAAAAATCTTGTATCTATAGATTTTACAAGATTAATATTGAATATATTAATGTAGCAGTCAGGTATTTTTTCCTCATTCACATCCTTAAGCACTCATCTATTTAATTATTTAACAGTATTCATAACGACTACAAAATCCATCTTATCTTCCTTCCTATACCACATTATGCATTTTTGCAATAGAAAGCGCCTTTTCAGTCACTAATTCATCAGTTTATTGAAGTCACATGTACAATTATTAGGAAATAAACTGAATGTCAACTCGACCTGCTCTCGAGTTGCTATAGGCAAGGGGGACGGGGAGGCTCATGATTTCATTAGGGCAGAGGTCTTCAAACTTGGCAGCTTTAAGACTTGTGGACTTCAACTCCACAACTCTCTTCAGCTGGCTGGAGAATTCTAGGAGCTGAAGTCCACAAGTCTTAAAGCTGCCAAGTTTGAAGACCTCTGCATTAGGGGGTTGCTCAGAACCCTGACACTGTAATGAATTCAAAACTGCTTATTTTCAGGTAGACAAGAGTATTTTTGCTTTACAAGGCAATCTTTATTTGCTTTGGATCAGTTACTACACTTCCCTTTGTTCCAGTTGATGCTGTTTTTGAATAATTATTATAGGCAAAAATCCCTAAAGTATTAGGTATATTATTAGAAAAATAAACAACCCTATCGCTATTATAAAGTAATAATTGACCTTACTGTCATTGAAACTGTAGTGTTACATTCCACAGCATATACTGTGAAAAACTGCAGAAATAATTGCAGTTTGGTTTCTACAGAAATACGTAGTTTTATAAATTAACTGAAAATCTATTTTATCACCAAGTATGTGTTTAAAATCAAGGATAGCATCAGTGCTGATTTACAAATGATTGTTCATTCAAATTAAACCTTATTTATTAATCAGTTTACTGAATTTATTGATATACATTTTATATAGGGACAAGGAGAGAAAAGAAATAGAAATTAACAAATTAATCTCTAGAAACATATAGTTTACACATTTCTCACATTCATTGCATATAAAATGCTTATTTAATAAATATAAAACCTGCATATTTACAAGGAAGCAAAAGCCAATGGATGTAGGAGTATTACTTCCTATAAATAACCCATACATTAAGACTACATTAATCAGTGTTTTTATTTTGAATGGATACTTTGTGAATTAGGCCCTCTTTAATAAGTTTGGGACTTCAGTTTCTAATGGGCATATATGTTCCTTCATCTGGAAGACACTAATAAGATTGTTTAGGTCAACTCACAGGAATAATGTTCTATAGAATCAAAGGATTTGTTTGAACTCCCTACGCACAGTCACTCATGCCCTCGTCACCTCTCGTCTGGACTATTGTAACACTCTCTACATGGGGCTCCCCTTGAGGTGCACTCGGAGGCTCCAACTGGCGCAGAGTGCGGCCGCGCGGGTGGTTATGGGAGCAACGTGGGTGCACGTCGCTCCTGCGGGAGCTGCCCTGGCTCCCAGTGGTCTTCCGAGTGCGCTTCAAGGTTTTGGTTATCACCTTTAAAGTGCTCCATGGCTTAGGACCTGGTTATTTACGGGACCACCTGCTACCACCAATAGCCTCCCACCGGTCAGTACGCTACCATAGAGAGGGGCTCCTCCGGGTGCCGTTGGCCAAACAATGTCGACTGGCGGCCCCTAGGGGGAGAGCCTTCTCTGTGGGGGCACCTATGATCTGGAACGAGCTCCCCCCAGAGATATGGAGGATCCCGGATTTGTGCACCTTCCGTCGCGCGCTTAGGACTTTTTAATTTCATCAAGCTGGCCTGGCCTAAATCTTCTCCCCTTTTTAAATGTAATTTTTAATTTGTTTTAAATTATGGGGTATTTTAAATTTGTCTCAGCCAAATTATTTAATTTGTTTTTATTTTATTTTATATTTTTCTATTTATATGTTTTATTTTGTGGCTGTTCACCGCCCTGAGTCCTTCAGGAGTAGGGCGGTATAGAAATCCAATAAAATAAATAAATAAATAACTCAAAGTAATCACAATTAGTTTCACAATTTGAGACACTTGAAAAAAAAAAGGGAATATTTTAATTTTCTTAAGATAATAGAAATGCATTAGGACTCACATTGTTTCTTGCTTCTTAATAGTATTGGTACTAACAGTGACTAAGTAGAAATTTTTGTAGAGAAATGGAATTCATTTACTGGGAATAGAAAAGTCTGTACTGTGTTCCTTAATAGCATATTAATGACAGAATCATCCTAATGAATAGCATTTTCTTCCTTAAGCAGAAATGAAATTTGTGAGTCAGAATTATTGAAAAAAATTACTCTTTCAGAAGAAACAATAAATGCATTGTTACTCAGTTATATGAAAATTTAAAGTTGCATTTCTGTAGCAAATACCGTATTTTTCGGAGTATAAGACGCACCTTTTGACCTCCAAAAAGGGGGTGAAATCTGGGTGCGTTTTATACTCCGATTGTAGCCCCGCCCACCTGTCAGCCCCCACCCTTCAGACATTTTCGGGCAGTTCCAGGCGGCGGGAATCTGGGTCGGGGCACAGCCTGAGGAACAACCCGCTTCAGGATGGTGGGGGGTGGGGGGAATCTGCCCAGCAGCTTCGGGGAACAAGGCGGGCCCCACGGTTTGCAGCTGGTCACCCCTCTGGCCGCCCAGCAGGCAGCTTAGGGCAGTCAATGATCGCAATGACTTCACTCCCCAGCAATGTGAGGAGCCGCCGTAAGCCCTTTCCGTGCCCAGAAGCCGAGCGAGCCGAATGGGAGCTCCTAAAGTGAAACATCTCTCCTTTCCAGCCACTGCTGCCCGGATTCCCCAATGCAATTCTCAGAGCCGCGTTTCAGGCGGCAGGCGGCCAGTTCCCCTGCAATGTACAGCGGGGAACTGGGAACCGTTTTGGATTTGGGGAGGGGATTGCAGCGCTGCCACCTGAAACGCAATGCACTTTTTTTGCCTCTGCACACCCCATGTTTGGAATCAGGAAGCAGATTGCGAGTCTGCTGCCCGAAAACGCTTTCCTGATTCCAAAGGAAAGCGTTTTCGGGCGGCAGACCCACAAACCCTGAAACGCGGCTCTGAGAATTACATTGGGGAATCCAGGCAGCGGTGGCTGGAAAGGAGGGACAATTCACGTTAGGAACTCCCGTTCGGCTCGCTCGGCTCCTGGGCGCGGAGAGGGCTTAGGCAGCGGCTCCTCACACTGCTGGGGAGTGAAGTCATTGCGACCATTGTCTGCCCTGAGCTGACTGCTCGGCGGCCAGAGGGGTAACCAGCTGCAAATCGTGGCGCCTGCCTTGTTCCCTGAAGCTGCCGGGCTGATTCCCCCCCAGACCATCCCAAAAAGGTTTGTTCCTCAGGCTGTGCTCTGTCCCTCCCCCCAGAGCATGCGAGGGGTCTCTTTGGGGGAAAGCGAGTATTTATTCATTTATTTATTCATTTATTTATTCATTTTATTTCTGTACTGCCCTTCTCCCGAAGGTCTCAAGGCGGTGTACAGCCTGATTAAAAGCACAGACAGACAAAATTTTAAAATTATTAAATAATTGGCTCAATTATAAAACCCCCAAATTTAAAATCCCATATTTAAAACCAAGTAAAATCTTTACATTGATAGCCCAGCCTGGCGGAACAACAAGGTTTTGAGGGCTCAGCGAAATACATGGAGATCAGAAATCTTACGCATTTCTGGGGGCAGTTCATTCCAAAGGGCAGGGGCTCCCACAGAGAAGGCCCTCCCCCCTGGGTGTCGCCAACCGACATAATTTGCCAATGGCACCCTGAGGAGACCCTTTCTGTGGGAGCGGACTGGCCGGTGGGAGGCTACTGGTGGCAGAAGACGGTCTCAAAGGTACATAGGTCCAATGCCATGGAGCGCTTTAAAGGTGGTAACCAAGACCTTGAATCGCACGCGGAAGACCACTGGGAGCCAGTGCAGCTCGCGCAGGAGGGGGGTCATGTGGGCACAACGAGTTGCGCCCATAACCACCCGCGTGGCCGCATTCTGGACCAGTTGGAGCCTCCGGGTGCTTTTCAAGGGGAGCCCCATGTAGAGAGCATTACAGTAGTCCAGTCGGCAGGTGACAAGGGCGTGAGTGACTGTGCGCAAGGCGTCACGATCCAGAAAGGGCTGCAACTGGCGAATCAGGCGAACCTAATAAAAAGCCCCCCTGGCCACGGCCGTCATATGTTCTTCTAAAGACAGCCGTGTGTCCAGGAGGACGCCCAGATTGCGAGCCCTCTCTGTGGGGGGGGTAAGGACTCACCCCTAATAGTCAGCGATGGCACCAGCTGACTATATCGCGACGCCGGGAACCACAGCCACTCAGTCTTGGAGGGGTTGAGTCTGAGCCTGTTTCTCCCCATCCAGACCCGTACGGCCTCTAGGCAGCGAGACATCACATCAAGGGCATTGTTGGGGTGGTCTGGGGTGGAGATGTACAGCTGAGTATCATCAGCGTACAGGTGGACTCTCACCCCAAAACCACGGATGATCTCACCCAGCGGCTTCACATAAATGTTGAACAGAAGGGGCGAGAGGACCGACCCCTGCGGCACTCCCCATGCGAGGCACCTCGAAGTCGACCTCTGCCCCCCTGTCAACACGAACTGCGAGCGGTCGGAGAGGAAGGAGGAGAACCACCGCAAAATGGTGCCCCCTATTCCTAACCCCCACAACCGCTGCAGCATGATACCATGGTCAATGGTATCAAAAGCCGCTGAGAGATCTAACAGGACCAGGACAGAGGAACAACCCCTGACCCGAGCCCTCCAGAGATCATCCACCAACGCAACCAATGCCGTTTCTGTGCTGTACCCCTGCCTGAAGCCCGACTGGTACGGGTCCAGATAGATAGCTTCATCCAGGTGCCTGGGCAGTTGTCATGCCACCACACTCTCAACAACCTTCACCACAAAATGAATGTTGGAGACCGGACGATAGTTGGCTAATTCAGCCGGGTCCAGGGAAGGCTTCTTGAGAAGGTGCCTCACCACCGCCTCTTTCAAGGCAGCGGGAAAGGCACCCTCACTCAGAGAAGCACTTATAATCCCCTAGAGCCAGCCTCGTGTAACTTCCCGGGAGGCCAGTACCAACCAGGAGGGACACGGGTCCAATAAACATGTGGCGGCACTAATCCTACCCAGAACCCTGTCCACATCCTCGGGAGCCACAGGATCAAATTCCTCCCAGATAATGTTCTCAAGACCTGCCCTCGTCTCCTCCCCCGGACTCACCCAGTCAGAGTCCAAGCCTTCCCGAATCCGAGTGACTTTATCATGTAGGAATTGCACAAAATCCTCAGCTCGACCCTGCAAGGATCTTCCCGCACTCCCCCCCGAAGAAGGGAGTGGGTCACCCTAAACAGAGCGGCTGGGCGGTTCTCTGCAGATGCGATAAGAGCGGAAAAATAGTTAGATTTTGTCGCTTTTATCGCAACTAGGTAGGTCTTGATAGAAGACCTCACCAGTGTTCGGTCGGAATCGGATTGACTAGTCCTCCAAATGCTCTCTAGGTATCTTTTCCGACGCTTCATCTCTCTCAAGGAGAACCAAGGAGCCAATTGAGGTCGGCATCGGGTCAGAGGCCGCAAAGGCACGACGCGGTCCAAAGCCCCGGCGGCTGCACTCTCCCAGGCGGCCACCAGGTCTTCAGTCGAGTCGTGTGCCAGGGTCTCAGGAAATGGCCCAAGCTCCGTTAGGAACCTTTCAGGATCCATCAGGCACCTGGGACGGAACCATTTGATCGGCTCCGTCTCCCTGGGGCGGGGGGAAGCGGCAGGAAAGTCCAAGCGAAGGAGAGAATGATCTGTCCATGACAAGGGTTTAATGTCTAAATCCCCTCTACCAAGATCATTCAACCACTGACTAGAGACGAAACAGATCACAGGAACACCCTGATAAGTTTTCTGGAAAAGAACTTATCAGTAATCAACGCCTTCTTTCCCAGCTGAGTCTCTGAGGCACCTCTCACTTGCAGGAGGAGGAGGAGGGCGGCGGCGTAAAGTAGTGCCACCTTAAATCACGCTGCTGGTAGGCAGAGGTAGAATTCTTGTTTTCCTCCCCAAAAATTAAGGTGGGTCTTATACTCCGAAAAATATGGTAAACTAGTCTTGTACATTCCAATTCATTGGAACTTGCTCTAAGCATTTTAGGCTGTGGTACAAAACATACATACAAGCCTGCAGAATAGGAGCAAAGAAATTATGAAAAGAAGCAAGGCTTATTCGTTACCATTTTTAGAGACAGTCTATTTAAGAAACAAGGTAAATGATTAAAATACATTTTATGAAGTCACTAAGAGAGATTGAAGAATAGTCATGTATCTATTATAAAAGTAACTGTTGATTTTTAGGACAGAATATTTTTCAAGGTTGCATTTTTGTTTTGAACAAATACGCTATAAGCACAGTTTTTGGACCTTATAAGATCTACAGTGGCATGGCCAGACAAGTGCAATAGAAAGTAATTTATTTTCCATTGGAAAATGCAGAATGCTTGCAGTTCATTATAAAGATTCATACACATTCATAGTCTTCCATTCCTATTATAATGCTTTGCTTTTCTATCCAATAGATGTCTAGTCAGTAGGTGTTTCAGTTTCAACTGGATCTCGGATCAACCTTCGGATTCCTCTTTTTCCCACAGGCCCTTTTGGCTTAGCAAAACCTTGTTTGTGTGCATGTCGTTTGGGATGGACTTCTTCATAGAGAAATTCCGCAGTTAGTTCATCTCCATCATCTATTTCAATCTGTTATGAAAGGAGGAGATAACAATCCAATTAATTTTGAAAAAGGCTCCATCCAGCATATAAATAACTATTAAAGATATAAATCTTGAAATGACCATTTTATATACTTTAAAAATCTTATCAAATCTGTCACCTAATACTGTGTTTCTCCGAAAATAAGACAGTTTTATCATTTTTTTGGCTACCAAAAAAGGCACCAGGTCTTATTTTTGGGGGCGGATGTCCACTGATTCACCTCACTTGCACGCATCATCCCCAGCCTCTTTTTCACTATCAGAGGCCTGAAGCAAAGCTTTCCTGAAGGCCTCTGATAACAGAGCTCCGGATCAATCAGGGGCTCTGTTATCTGCTATGGAGGCCTTCAGGAAAGCCTTGCTGGCTGCAGCAGAAGAAATGGGCCGAGGTGTGCGAGGCCTGGCTGCAACTATCTGAAGAGAAGTAGTAGGGCAGCTCCACACCCCCATCCCCATCCTAGCTTAATTTTTACCTGTGCACCCTGCAGTGAGTGGGGTCTTAATTAGGGTTTATTTTGTGGAAAGGGCTTCTATTGGGCACAAGTGTAAAACTCAAGATAGGACTTACTTTATGAGTAGGTCATATTTTCGAGAAAACACGATAGTTGAACTCAACAAAACCACCTATGACCATTTTTAAGCATCAAATATATATATATATATATAATGGTAATAGTACATAAGAAATGATAAATTGCTGAATTTTCTTACCATTTAAGGATTATTTTATTGCAGTTATTTTGATAGTTTTAAAAGGATAAACTTACAGCCTAGTGAATGTAATGAAATATTCCTACAGCTTATCAGCCCTGGATGCATCTTTGGTCAGACTTTACAAGGCTGCCACAGTAAGAATGGGAGAGTAGCAAAGGGAATAAATCATAACATTTTTTCACATGAGATCAAAGTCGAACTGCTGGCACCTGGAAGGAAGTGAAAGAAGTTTGGCGGCAGCTGAGACAGGGGATTGATTGGGGCATGTGATGTGAATGTCACTGGACAGGGCAGGGTGTGAGTTTTAGTGTGGGTGGGGGAAACACGGGATTTCAGATTCAGGTTTTCTCCAGATGTGCCAATATGACTTCTTAATAAAAATCTTACTTTGATGGACTTTGTCTCGGAGTTCTGAATTGCAATGAGGAATTAGTTGGAACTATCTATTTTTTGCTGTATAAGACACACTCCCCCCACCCCCCAAAAGTGGCTGGAAGTGTCTGTGCATCTTATACAATGAATGTTTCTGAAACCCCACCCACCTGCTGGCCCCCACCCTTCGGCCATTTTCGGCCTCCGCATGCCCCATTTTAGACCTGTTCCAGAAAGCGGGGATCACCACAGCACATTGGGCATAGCATTTTTGGCCTCCACACATTGCGTTTTCGGCCACCACACACCCCACCAGCTGAGTGTGGGGCCTGCCGCCCAAGCTCTCCCACACTTGATCCAGCCAGGTTGGAGCCTAGCCCAGCCTACATTCCGCTTTCCAGGGCAAGGGGACATGTCAGTTCAAAGTGGGACCACGGCTTCATTCCATTCAGCCCTGAGTGGACCAAGATTCAGCCTTCCCCCTCAAATTAGATCCATCAGCGCGGCAGCCCAGCAGGGTGCAGCGGCTGGCAAACACCCTGGACCTCTGGGGCAGTCAAGCCCGGGCAACTGGGGAGGAATGATGGGATTACCGGGGCCCACCCATCGGCTTCCACCAGCAGCACCCCGGACTGCCGCCAGTCGACCAAATCCCTCCAGGATGGGCTTTCTACCCAGGCCAGGGGTGGATTCAATACCTGCGGATGCCGGCTCTGGCCCAACCACTGGTTCTGCCACCCGCAGTGGCACAGCCCACAGTTGCCCCACCACCGTTCCTGGCTATCTTCGACGACATCCCAGGGAACCTAGCTTACTTTCTAAACCGCATCTGGGCCCACATTGATTGTTATGGAAGCTCAATACCAATCAGACCAGATTATCTCAGCCACTGCAGATAACATGAGGGAGAGGGAAGCAGCAGACTGGATTGCCCAACTCCACGACGGAGCACCTGAGTTAGAAGATGCAGATGAGTTTGTGCAGTCACTAAGGGCCTGGTTTGAGGAACAGCCAACCAAAAGGAAGCTGAAGCAGAAAGTAAGGGATTGAAGCAGCGCGGCTGGCCCCCCAAGGAGTTTGTGTGGGAATTTAGAAGAGTAGCCAGCAAACTACGGGACTGGCCTAAACGACTCTTCACCCACTATTTCAAAGAGGCCCTGGATCAGGACCTTAGGCAGGCACGTGCCTACAGGGGAATATCAAACCGGATCCAAGCCTGGTATCGGATGGCAGTGACTATGGACTTAAGAGATTTACCCCCACCAAAGATCCATATTGGAAAACTCTCCCAAATGACCATTGGGATGTCAAGTTGCCACTAATCAGGCAGTGAAGACAAGACCAGCAGCCATGCCCGTTATAAAGTGCTTCAGATGCAGCCAACTGGGCCACCAAGCCTCCGAATGTCTCGCACCAGCTCCAGTCTCTCAGGCGCGAATGCTGGCAGCTGCAAAATGGAGGAGAACTCCCAGAAAGCCACAAGACAAAGGCAAATTTGTTCAGCAAGCCGTGGAGGTCCCCCCTCCACTGTACCAGGAGGGGGGAACTCCGGCTCCAGAGGCCACCGACACCAGCAGAAAGGGTGAGGAGGATCCAATGGTAAGTGAAGTCATCCATCCCTTTGCCATAAAGTCTTGCATAGTAGTACACAGGACATGCGCCCATGGGGACCTAGAGTCCATATAAGACACTGGTTGCACCAGGTGCTTGATCAGCTCCCAGACCGTGCAGGATTTAGAGATAAGAGACGAGAACTTTGAGCTGCCCCACCAACTTTGAGCAGGTAGATGGATCACTAGTGGGTAGTGCACCCGCAACCATAGTCACTGAACCTGTAAGACTGGAAATGGGGCACCACTGGGAAATCATATGATTCATTATTGCCCCAAAAATGGCTGAGTCACTCATCCTTGGTTTGTCCTGGCTAGACAAGTAGGCCCCGACCATCACACGGGAAGACTGTTATTGGAAGCTAAAAGGCATCGGACCGCTGTCCCCCCTCCCGCAAACCGAGAACCAGCCCTCTTTAGGACCATGCAACCTCAGCCAAAGAGAAGGAGTAGCCTCCACCACGGAGGCTTTGCCTGGCTGCCAGAGAATACGCAGAGTACAGAGACTTAGCAGGAGTTTTCAGTGAAGACGAATGCAATGTGCTCCCCCCACATCGACCCACGGACTGCGCAATAGAATTTATGCCAGGGGCAAAACTGCCTAAAACAAAAATATTCCATGACCCCTAAGGAGATGGGTGAATTGAGGAAATACATTGACGCAAACTTAGAGAGAGGATTTATCCAGTGTGCTATATCTAAGGTCACAGCCCCCATACTTTTTAAACAGGAAAAAGATGGAGGGTGAGGCTTTGCATTGATTTCTGCAAAATAAACACTCTGTGTGTGGAAAACACCTCCCCCTCATGAAGAACATGCTCAACTACCTGGCAAAGGGAAAGGTATTTACCAAGCTAGACCTCCACAGAAGTCTACTACTGCATATGGATCAAGGAGGGTGATGAATGGAAAACAGCATTCAATTGCCCATTAGGCAGCTTCCAGTTTAAAGTCATGCCGTTTGGGCTACAGGGAGCCCCTGCAGTGTTCATGCAACTCATTAACAAGGTGCTGCATACAAAGGAGTTTTAGTGTATTTGAACAATATTCTTTAGTGAAACTACTACAGCAAGTTTTGAAAAAACTCCTAGCCATTAAGCTCTGTGCTAACCTGTCAAAATGCGAGTTTCAAAAGACCACTCTAAACTACCTGGGTTACTGAGTGTCAAACGAGGGGATTGAAATGGACCCAGGAAAAGTTAAGGCAGTACTGGATTGGCAGCCCCCTCACAAGCAACTTCAAAGCTTCCTAGGCTTTGCAAAATTTTACCGGCAGTTCATTTCTGCATTCACTGAGATTACTCTGCCGCTTACGGAGCTATTAAAGATGAAGGGAATTGGCCCAAAGCCCCGGCCCAACCAACCCTTAAACTGGACCCTTGACTGTCAACAGGAGTTTGAAAAGTAAAAGGGACTATTTTCCAAGGAACCAATCCTACGACACCCTGATTCTGAATGGCCATTGCCAGTGATGTCAGTCACCGCAGTGCTTCTACAAGGAAATCTTCAGGGCCAACTGCAGCCTTGTGCCTTTGTGTCCAAAAAATTCACAGACACAGAATGGCAATAGGCCATATGGGAAAAAGAGGTCAGATGGGCTCTCCTCTCTTGGCAACACTTTTTAGAAGGCATCAGCTTGAGGTCTGGACCGACCAGAAGAACCTAGAGGCATTGAAGACTCCTAGGAAGTTGTCCCCTTAACAAGTACACTGAACACAATACTTCAAGTGGTTCAACTTTGTGCTAAAACACATTCCAGGAGAAAAAAACAAGTAGCTGATGCTTTATCAAGAATATCACAGTTCAACAGCCGACGGGAGATAGATTGGTGAAGCAGTTTCATGAAAAATTTCCTGACTGACCAAAGCAGCCGCCCCCCCCCCCGGGGGGGAGGTGATTAGAGAGTTTAGACCCTTGTCCCTAACCGCCTGTCACTTGTCTCTTTTCAGGATGTTCTCATCACTTGAGGGGAGGCAGCCTGTCAGCCCTGGATCCATCTTTGGTCAGACTTTACAGGGCTGCCACAGTGGGAATGGGAGAGTGCCAATATGACTTCTCAAAGTCTTACTTTGATGGACTTTGTCTCAGAGTACTGAATTGCAATGAGTTAGTTGGAATGCTGACACAACTACTAAAATCATCTACTTAAAATGAATTTAAAGCTACCCAATTCCCTATAGTATCTTTAAAATTTATTAGCTTGTATAATCAATCCTAATGAAGGAAAGTACAACTCCATATCCTGCTTTGAAGGATTTTCTCCCTCCATATTGAAAGTGTTGTCAAATAATGTCTAGTTCAGCTGATACCCAAAAGCTAACAGGTATAGATCCGGTTATTGGATGAGACACTAGCAGAAACTTGGTAGGGGATGTAGGTTGAATTAGGAATGCGAAAAAAATATGGTTATGGTTATGGCAGTGGCAAACTTCTTTCAGAAAGCTGTATGAACTTAATATACATTAGGCATGTGCCTATCTGTCAAACTCAGACCAACATTGAAACATGGATGACTAAAAACTACTCCAGTCAGATTTACATATCTGACTTATATTGGGTGGGCAATTCATGGGCTCCAATCTTTTTTTATATTAGAGGACCCTTACCTCCACATTTTCAAAATGTATTGATAAATCACAGACCATCATGCTATTTCTGATTTGTTTGTTTTGAGAAAAACAAAGGTGTACAAAACTTTTAAGTAAGCTATCATTGACTTCCCCATTTGAATCCCATAAACTTGTGTGGTATACTCCATCCCCAATACCTCCCAAAAATAATTTGAAGAAAACCTATAGCTCCTAATCACAAAACTTTGTTCAGTCCTAAATTACATGAACATGGATGACATCAGAGACAATATTTTATATGCTTAAAAGTTTTTTTTTTCTCTGCATCTTTTACCCTAATGTATTACGTCAGAAAATGGAACAAAATTTGAGAATGGTATTATCAAATATAGCATTGTTGAATTATCCTACTATTGTCTGAATTGTTTAATAATTTGATACCATATACTGAAAATGTTATCTCACAGTGAGCAGTTTAGGAATATTGTCCTATTTGCCCAGGAATATTAAGTAGCAGCTTAATATTCCTGGGCAAATGGTTGTGGCACATGGTAGTAACTATTTTTATTCTCTTCAAAAGTCATTTGGATTCAGTAATAAATCTACTGAATATTGTTTCAAACTCTTCCTCTTTTTGTAATAAAGAGACATCATCTGCAGAGATCTTTATCTGAGGGGTCTGTCAAGAAGTAGAGTGTCTGGAATCGTGGTCTTACCTTTCTAGTGATTTGTATCCACAGTTGTTTTTCTGCAATTTCTAGGAGATGACTCTTGCAGCTAGAATAAAGCATTCTTTCTCGTATACTGCACACATAACCAGGCATAGAGTAGATAAAAACT